ACTATATATAGTATGTCGTTTTTTTCATTTTTCGAACGACATAGTATAGTATGTCATTTTTTTCAATTTTCGACGACATACTATAGTATGTCGTTTTTTTAAATTTTTCGAACGACATGTCGTTTTTTTCTATTTTTTGACCACATACTATATATAGTATGTCGTTTTTTTCAATTTTTCGTACACATAGTATAGTATGTCGTTTTTTTCAATTTCGATGACATAGTATAGTATGTCGTTTTTTTCAATTTTCGGACGACATACTATAGTATGTCGTTTTTTTAAATTTTTCGGACGACATGTCGTTTTTTTCTATTTTTGACACATACTATATATAGTATGTCGTTTTTTTCAATTTTTCGACGACATAGTATATAGTATGTCTTTTTTTTCAATTCGACGACATAGTATAGTATGTCGTTTTTTTCAATTTTTGGACGACATGTCGTTTTTTCTCAATATTTCGGACGACATATAGTATGTCGTTTTTTTCAATTTGTCGACACAGTATGTCGTTTTTTCAATTTGACGACATACTATAGTATGTCGTTTTTTTCAATTTTTCGACCGACATAGTATAATATGTCGTTTTTTTCAATTTCCGACATAGTATATATGTCGTTTTTTTCAATTTTTCGTTTTCTCAATATTTCGACGACATAATAGTATGTCGTTTTTTTCAATTTTTCGGACGACATACTATAGTATGTCATTTTTTTCAATTTCGACACATAGTTAGTATGTCGTTTTTTTCAATTTCGACGACATACTATAGTATGTCGTTTTTTTCAATTTTTGAATGACTACGACTATAGTCGTCAATAGTTTGACGACTATAGTATGTCATTTTTTTCAATTTTTCGACCACTATAGTATGCTTTTTCAATTTTCGGACGACATACGAGTCGTTTTTTTAAATTTTCGAACATACTATAGTATGTCTTTTTTTTAATTTTCGGACATAGTATACTATATACGACATAGTATATAGTATGTCGTTTTTTCAATTTTTCGGACGACATGTCGTTTTTTCTCAATATTTCGGACGACATAGTAGTATGTCGTTTTTTTCAATTTTTCGACGACATAGTATAACATGTCGTTTTTTTCCATTTTTCGAACGACATAGTATTTTTCGAACGACATTTTTTTCAATATTTCGGACAACATACTATAGTATGTCACTTTTTTCAATATTTAGGACGACATACTATAGTATGTCGTTTTTTTCAATTTTTCGACGACAAACTATAGTATGTCGTTTTTTCTCAATATTTTGCACGACATAGTCGTCCGAAATACATACTATAGTATGTCGTTTTTTTCAATTTTTCGGACGACATGTCTTTTTTTCTCAATATTTCGGACGACATAGTATAATATGTCGTTTTTTTCAATTTTTCGACGACATAGTATAACATGTCGTTTTTTTCAATTTTTCGACGACAAACTATAGTATGTCGTTTTTTTCAATTTTTCGAAGACAAACTATATTATGTCATTTTTTTCAATTTTTCGACCACAGACTATAGTATGTCGTTTTTTCTCAATATTTTGCACGACATAGTCGTCCGAAATACATTCTATAGTATGTCGTTTTTTTCCATTTTTCGAACGACATAGTATAGTATGTCATTTTTTTCAATATTTCGGACGACATACTATAGTATGTCGTTTTTTTAAATTTTTCGGACGACATGTCGTTTTTTTCTATTTTTTGACCACATACTATATATAGTATGTCGTTTTTTTCAATTTTTCGTACAACATAGTTTATAGTATGTCGTTTTTTTCAATTTATCGATGACATAGTATAGTATGTCGTTTTTTTCAATATTTCGGACGACATACTATAGTATGTCGTTTTTTTAAATTTTTCGGACGACATGTCGTTTTTTTCTATTTTTTGACCACATACTATATATAGTATGTCGTTTTTTTAAATTTTTCGTACGACATAGTATATAGTATGTCTTTTTTTTCAATATTTCGGACGACATAGTATAGTATGTCGTTTTTTTCAATTTTTTGGACGACATGTCGTTTTTTCTCAATATTTCGGACGACATAGTATAGTATGTCGTTTTTTTCAATTTGTCGACCACAGTATGTCGTTTTTTCTCAATATTTCGGACGACATACTATAGTATGTCGTTTTTTTCAATTTTTGAAAAAAATGACATTGACGACTATAGTCGTCAATAGTAATTGACGACTATAGTATGTCATTTTTTTCAATTTTTCGACCACATACTATAGTATGTGGTTTTTTCAATTTTTCGGACGACATACGAGTCGTTTTTTTAAATTCTTCGGACAACATACTATAGTATGTCTTTTTTTTCAATTTTTCGGACATAGTATACTATATACGACATAGTATATAGTATGTCGTTTTTTCAATTTTTCGGACGACATGTCGTTTTTTCTCAATATTTCGGACGACATAGTGTAGTATGTCGTTTTTTTCAATTTTTCGACGACATAGTATAACATGTCGTTTTTTTCCATTTTTCGAACGACATAGTATAGTATGTCATTTTTTTCAATATTTCGGACGACATACTATAGTATGTCATTTTTTTCAATTTTTCGACCACAGTATGTCGTTTTCTCTCAATATTTTGCACGACATAGTCATCCGAAATACATACTATAGTATGTCGTTTTTTCTCAATATTTCGACGACATACTATAGTATGTCGTTTTTTTCAATATTTCGGACATAGTATACTATATACGACATAGTATATAGTATGTCGTTTTTTTCAATATTTCGGACGACATACTAGTATGTCGTTTTTTTAAATTTTTCGGACGACATGTCGTTTTTTTCTATTTTTTGACCACATATTATATATAGTATGTCATTTTTTTTTATTTTTCGTACGACATAGTATATAGTATGTCGTTTTTTTCAATTTTTCGACGACATAGTATATTATGTCGTTTTTTTCAATATTTCGGACGACATAGTATAGTATGTCGTTTTTTTCAATTTTTTGGACGACATGTCGTTTTTTCTCAATATTTCGGACGACATAGTATAGTATGTCATTTTTTTCAATTTGTCGACCACAGTGTGTCGTTTTTTCTCAATATTTCGGACGACATACTATAGTATGTCGTTTTTTTTCAATTTTTCGATGACATAGTATAATATGTTGTTTTTTTCAATTTTTCGAACGACATAGTATAGTATGTCGTTTTTTTCAATTTTTCGGACGACATACTATAGTATGTCGTTTTTTTCAATATTTCTGACGACATACTAGTATGTCGTTTTTTTAAATTTTTCGGACGACATGTCGTTTTTTTCTATTTTTTGACCACATATTATATATAGTATGTCATTTTTTTTAATTTTTCGTACGACATAGTATATAGTATGTCGTTTTTTTCAATTTTTCGACGACATAGTATATTATGTCGTGTTTTTCAATATTTCGGACGACATAGTATAGTATGTCGTTTTTTTCAATTTTTTGGACGACATGTCGTTTTTTCTCAATATTTCGGACGACATAGTATAGTATGTCATTTTTTTCAATTTGTCGACCACAGTATGTCGTTTTTTCTCAATATTTCGGACGACATACTATAGTATGTCGTTTTTTTCAATTTTTCGACGACATAGTATAATATGTTGTTTTTTTCAATTTTTCGAACGACATAGTATAGTATGTCGTTTTTTTCAATTTTTCGGACGACATACTATAGTATGTCATTTTTTTCAATTTTTCGACCACATACTTAGTATGTCGTTTTTTTCAATATTTCGGACGACATACTATATATAGTATGTCGTTTTTTTCAATTTTTGAAAAAAATGACATTGACGACTATAGTCGTCAATAGTAATTGACGACTATAGTATGTCATTTTTTTCAATTTTTTGACCACATACTATAGTATGTCGTTTTTTTCAATTTTTCGGACGACATACGAGTCGTTTTTTTAAATTCTTCGGACAACATACTATAGTATGTCCTCCATTGGCTTTTATAACAGTAAACAATTCACAGATTGTGATTCACTTTGGTGTCGGCGTGTCAACAGCTTGCTTTTGGATAGCCTCCAGCTTTTTGGTTCATGCTTTTGTTTGATTGAAATCCCCCATATTGTGATTCTCTCTTTGGGGCTTAGCTCTAGAAAAGTAATTTTCAATACAGTCTGCATGAGACAGATTTAATGCAGAGCAGCAGAGGCCACGTCAGAGCCGTAAAGTTTCACTATTATCCAAACACTTGAAAATTGTCAAATTGTACACATAACTGTGTTTATTCTGCAAAAAATTTTTTTGTGGTATCAAATTCTATTCCACAGCCAGATGAAAGGTAAAACTAACATTTTGACTTATGCTGTGCTGTATAAACTAAAACTGAAGTAAACCTGCAGAGGAAGAAGGAAAAGTAGGTCTATCCATGAAAATGATCTGTATCCAAAGTCTGTTTGCTGTTATATAACATAGTTATCAAGATAGACTAGTTTCTTAACATCACTCAGAGACAGCATTCTTTTTGTTTTTGAAAAATCATGGAGGGGAAAGTTGAATACTTGAGAAAGCAAGTTATCGTGTTAATTAGAGTATATGTTCTGGTCAAAAGTGTATTTTACGGTTGAACAAGAGTTAATGCAATCTTATCCAAAGTGTCCCTCGTGGAACCCCTTAGAGCCAGAGAGGTCTTATTATTAGATAATAGATAATGACGCATCCATCTTGATAGATAATCATTGCACAGTTCCCTTTTTGTATTGACTAGCGAGATCCTCAACTTTAATAACATTGAGAGAGTCGGGATGTATTTATAGCTCACTAGCTTAGCATAATGTTTACTTCCCATGGAGGACACACCTGACTCTGTCTCCTACTGTTTTTCATCCAAAACAGTAGGAGGGATCAGTATATTGGGATCAAATGAGATGATATTAATATGTCATGCACTGGACATACTCGCATGTTTGTTTACCAGTTCAACAAAAGCAATGCATCCAACACATTAGTTCACCAGTTTGAAACCAGCTCATTTATTTTGCGTATCACAAATTGAGAGGTAAATTATACAGTGAGATTGGAATTAAAAGCAAACAATGAACAAAAGGCACAAAATCACAGATTCGGGATCAAAGATGAGGTTCCCCCTTTCTGCCTTCCACTGGTCATCATTAAAGTCGTCGGCCGAATAGAAACCATGAGAGTTAGGACTCTGTGATGCGTCTGATTGATCTGAATCTGATGCCGTTGCTGATTTCTCTGAGGTTCTTGTACTCCCCAGGCTTCAGATACAGCATCCTGCCCTCGAATTCAGGCAGCTCGAACATCAGCCAGTGGCCGTCCACCACGTTGCACGACTGCAGGTCCGACATGTTGTAGCTGTCCTGGATGGAGTCGCAGTCGTCAGTCAGCTCATACATTTGGCCTTCGAAATTTGTTTTCTGGTAGATCCGCATCTTGAAGGGTCCAGTGTGCTGTGCAGGGTAGAAAACAAGCAACTTCAACCAGTCATCCTCTCATTTTTACATTTCAAGCTGCCCTCATCTCTCATTGATTGAGACAATAGTGATGATTACCACAGGGACGATTCGGCAGGAGTGAATGCAGTCGTTGAACCCAATCGTATCCTGATACTCAGGATACTCCCCTTTGGTCAGGAGGTACTGTTGGCCCCTGAAGTTGGGCTGCTCGTAGACCATGAATATCCCGCTCTCCACCCTGCAGGAGCTGCATCGTCTCAGATGAGACGCAATTTCCGAGCAGTCACCGACGCACTCATATGAGCGGCCCTGGAAGTTCCTCTCCTCGAAGAAAATAATCTGATAAGAAAGATAGTTTTAGAGCTTTTTTTTGGTCACCCCAAACACTCACCATTGATTTAAAGTACTGTGCATAAAACTATTAACTTTTCAGGAATGTGTGGAGCAGTCTGGATAGTTTGCACCCTGCATTACCTTCCCGCTCATGATTTCTGTTGTTTTTTCTCTCTGGCGCGCTGCCTTTTATGCATCATGTGACATCAAAAGAATCTGCCCCTCGATTGTACAAAATACCTGAGTCAGCTCATCATGAAAATCCCCACTATACTGCACATCAAAGCTGTGAGCGCTGCAGCCTTCCTGATTAAATTATTGCATGTTAACATTTTTCATTGAAGGATTGTTTTTTTTTCATGTTTGTTGGAGAATTAAAGATAACCTGACAGAATGCAAAATATTTTTTTTCAAATAATTATATTTATAAAGGATAAAAACGTTATCTGATCCAATCTGAGCTGAGCCAGAGCTCCTAATTCACAGAAAGGATGGGAAACTGGACAAAAACAGCAAATTACGGCAGACCAATACCAACACCAACAACCCATGTCACATTTGCCAAAAAATAATCTGTGTTTTCCAGGAGTTTTTGTAAAATATTCTATAGGTTAAGATGCATGTCTCAACAAATATACAGTTAAAATAATGAAAAACCTGAGAAGAAAATAATATCAAAGAGTGAAATGTAATCATGGTGAAGTGATGCACAACTCTACCTTCTGCAATGGGTCTGGATACCTCGAGCGTCACCCAAGATAATCGACAGGTCACTTTCTACGACTCTATAGTTGGCAAAATAATTGATATTTAGAGATAAATCTTTCAGTAAAAAAACTGATGAGTTCAAAGATACTCATTTGTGTCAAATTTAACATAAACAAGATGTGCACATCTTGCCAAGTTGTGCTGTGGCTAACGTGCATCTTTTGCTGTTTTTTTTTTTTTTACTTTTTAGATGTAGGCTATTCTGCCAAAATCTGCAAAAGTGCCATTAGTCGATATCACTCTTAAGCTGCCGTCACATTGTTTTCCTTCTTGCCATGTATGCCAGCAGACTGAAAAACATGTGGCTCGAAACAAAATGAATTTTGTGGAATTTTTTTTGTCACATCTTTGAGCTGCTTGTGTCACTTGTGAAAACTGCACATATATTGGGATCAAATGTGTGGAATTGGCAGAGTTCGTAATTGTTCCTCTACTGCTACCACTAAGAGGTCAGGTTAGTCCAAATAATAATAAAGTTGGTCATGCTGTTAGTTTCATTTTTAATTTTTCATCATCTTGCATGCCGAGTTGAGTAAAGCATCTGCATATTGTGGAATGAGATTAAGTATTTTTGAGTCACAGATAAATTGATTCTGTCGCAATGGTGCACATGTGCAACATAACATTGGTGGCATGGTTTGCACATCGTCACCGTTTCATTTCTAATTGCGCAGTAAGGTGGTGCAGGGGCTCTCACATCGTTTTGTCTCCAAAATATTTTTGACATGAACCGATGTAATTCCAGTTTAGAGAGAGCAGAGTCTTTAATCCCTGCATGTCAAGTGCAGAAAAGATACAACAAAGATACTTCAAAAAAATGTTTATTATTTTCTCTGATAGTTTCATTCACAGTTAACACACATCCACGATGCATCTGATGGAGCTGATTCTCATGATGTTGCTCATCCCCAGTTCACGGAGGTTTCTGTACTCGCCTGGCCTCACGTACATCATCCTGCCCCTGAAGTTGGTCTGCTCGAACATCAGCCAGTGGCCGTCCATGACGTTGCAGGACTGGCAGTCAGACATGTAAAACCGATCTTGGAGAGACTCGCAGTCATCCATAAGCTCATGCATCTGACCGCCGAAGTTCTCTCTTTCATAGATCCTCATCCTGAACTGTCCCCGGTGCTGTCAAAGGAATAGGAGAGATTTATTCTGTTCCTTTTTTACTGGCTCGCCAATTCTAACCTCCTCCTTAAAGAGATAATACAAATATCATACCATGGGGATGATACGACAGGAGCGGATGGTGTCCATCATGGCCATTCCCATCATGCCCAGCATGTTTCCCATGTACTGAAAGTCAGGGTACTCTCCTCTCCTCAGGAAGATCTGGTTACCCATGAAATTGGGGCGGTCGTACCCCACGAAGCACCCGCTCTCCACCCTGCAGGAGTTGCAGCGATTCAGGTGCATGTGGATGTCGGAGCAGTCGCTGCTGCAGTCATAGGAACGGCCCTGGAAGCTCCTCTCCTCATAGAAAATGATCTGCAGGACACAGCAGAAAGGGTGAGACACCGCTGCTTGTGCGGAGCATGATAAAGTGTTCTGACTAATTTTCTCATACATGTTAAAGCCAATCAGAGTCTTGAGTTTTTCCTTTTGCAAGATTTTTGTACATTTTTTTTGACACGTAAACGGAGGACAAATCGGATATTACCCTGCCCATGGTGACGGTTTTCGTTTTTCCAAATGATGCCCACCGGCGTTGCTTTTATATCCACCATCAGCTCCAGACCACCTAGCTCACCTTTGTTTGAAACATCATGACTCATCATTAGGTTCACGTGGCCATGCATTGATTTCTTTTTACGGTACACCTCAATAGTTATTATTCTATGTTAACTGTAGCTCTGAAAGGTCATGCGAGGTCACAGAAATGTTATATTTATTTTACGTTTTTTACGACAAAAGGCTGACACTTTCCCACTCTTCAGTTGACAAGACCTTGTTGTAGTTTTAGTCTTTTTCCAGAGGCAATAAGTGAGTATTTTTTTGGGATAAAGAGATGAATTAAGTTGCGGAAGTTGCTGGAAGCAGGCATGAAACCAGATATTTAGCTGAGAATAAATGGATTATTGCAGATTCTGATGCTAAAGTCTGCCACCCTATAGTGCAGCTCCGTGCCACAATATAGAGTGATGACTCAAAGCTTTCAGCACAAGCCATGTGGAAATGCTACTGCTGTGCAATGTATAAAAAGGGAAAGGGTCGATGTTGGTGCGTTGAATCTCACAAATAGCTCACAGTTATCATGACCATGGGAAGGGTAAGTGGAATTTCCCAAACATTAGATGCAAAATTACTCAGAGTGAAGATTAACTACTAGCTGATCATTTCTCTTGTGTGTGTTTTTTTTTTGTAGATTATATTCTATGAGGACAGGAACTTCCAGGGTCGCTCCTATGAGACCAGCAGCGACTGCCCGGAGCTCACCTCCTACCTGAGCAGGTGTAACTCCTGCAGGGTGGAGAGTGGCCTCTTCGTGGTCTATGAGAAACCCAACTTCATGGGCCTCCAGATGCTGGTGAGGAGGGGCGAGTACCCCGACAACCAGCGGCTGATGGGAATAAGCACGAGTGATTGCATCCGATCCTGCCGCATCATCCCAATGGTAGGTGGAGGACGCCCCTGACAACAGGTCAATGTTGTGGCTCAAGTCTCACTCACCTTCCCACCACAGACAGTTGTTTGATTTCAGTGTAATTTCTTCCCTCACAGCAACGAGGACCCTTCCGACTGAGGATCTACGAGAGGGAGAACTTCGCAGGCCAAATGCACGAGCTGGTGGACGACTGTGAGAACATGATGGACCGCTTCCGTATTTCCGAGTGCCAGTCCTGCAACGTCATGGAGGGCCACTGGCTGATGTTTGAGCAGCCCAACTACAGGGGCAGGATGATGTACCTGAGACCAGGAGAGTACAGGAACCTGAGGGAGATGGGGCTGAGCACGAGGTTCAGCTCCATCAGGCGCATCATGGACGTCTGTTAGCGTCTGAGCCTTGAATGTAGCTGGTGAAAACCAGAATAAAGCAAGCTGAAATCCAGATGTGTTTGTGCCTGTGCCTCATTCTGACCTAAACTAGATGAGAAAGGAAGTGTTTCTGACATTTCTAGTGCATTTATGAGAACTTTTTGAAATTGAAGCACAAGGTTTGGATAAACCCTTCATACTTCTAAAAGTTCCCACTGGCAGTACAATAACACTAAAAATATTGACACGGTGGAACAACTAATAACATTAAATTACCTGTTTTTAATATATCATTAAATGACCTATTTTTAATATGCTGGGCATATTAACATATATGCATTACAGCATAAGATCTACAGCTACAGTCATCCTGAGTTCTGACCTTCAGGAAACAATCAATCAGTGCCAAGAAAAATCAATGGTGCTCCTGGACTGGCTGCATTGCAAAAACCAGCCAATAGCATGTCAAGTGTCATTGCTCCTATTTGGTTTACATATTTCAGCTTCCAAACTGTATTTTTTTTTTATGTCCATGAACTGGCAAGTTTTCCGTAAAAAATTTGTAGTCACGTTCCAGAAAAAGATCCACTAAGAGTTCAATCTCTGAATAGAGCAGAGTGCTCTGTTTTTAATGGATTCTTTAATGGACACATGGAACAGAACGAATGAGGAACTAAATGCTGGGTGACACAATTTAATTGTTTGAATGCAGTTAAACACCTTAAATTTTGTTCAAATGTGAGCTTTAGATATCTGTGTGGACCACCTTGCCAAACTGTTCTGTGGAGTTCTTCATATATTGCAAATAGTTATCTCTCCCAATTGTATGAATTAAGTCACTAATTCAAATCAAACTACTCACACAGCGAGAATCAAAATTAACTTCCACTGGGAAATGAAACAGGCATCACTCTAAAGATAACAAGACAGAATAAAGGGGGACATTTCCTTTGTCAATGATCTCCAAGTGTTTGAAAGCATCTTTGCCATCACCCTAATCTTTAGCTCTCTCCACAGAAACTCTATCAGAATCAAATCAGTATTCTGGATGTATAATATCTACAACTTTTTAATAGTGTGGAGGGAAAACAAGTAAAATAATATCAAGGCTTCTAAAAACTGTAATTAAAAACATACCCCAACCTTATTTAATTTTCACAGTGTACTGTTCAGGTTATATGATTCACATATCCACTTTCCAGGACATTCCACACAACAAAACTGCATAAAACATCACTGTTGAAATAAAAATAAAAAAACAACAGTAAATTTACGCAAGATTCCTAAAATACAGATTCAGATGCAGTCAAATGTGAAAAAAACGTGATTATTTTCTGTCATCCATGCTGTTTGCGTTCCATCATGTGTTTGATTGAGGCTCATCAGGAAGCTGAAACAAAGGGAAATCAAATGACACCAAGCTGTTTCTGCTGATATGCAAATCCAGCTCATTTGGGTATCAAAGACTTTCCACGCTCTGCACATTTTCTATATGGATAAATACTTTGATGGGCCTGCAGCAAAGAATCGGGTTGACATTGCATCCAAATGGGGAAGGTAAGATCTTCCACTGGAGTTAAGTCCTTAAAAAGCTGCACAGAAAAAACTTGACTCATGCTTTCCCCTCACAGATCACGTTTTTTGAGGAGAAGAAATTCCAGGGCCGCTGCTATAACTGCAGCAGCGACTGCACCGACCTGCACACTCACTTCAGCCGCTGCAACTCCATCCGGGTGGAGAGCGGCGTGTGGGTGATCTATGAGAGGCCCAGCTACAAAGGCTTCCAATATGTCCTCAGCCCCGGGGAGTACGCTGACAGCCAGCAGTGGATGGCCTTCAGCGACAGCGTCAAATCCTGCCGTGCTGTGAAGAATGTGAGAGTTTGGATGCAAAAGATTCAGAAAACACCTTTCTTTGTTGAATTTAAGTTTATTCTTGCAATGACCTTCTCCCTTATGTTGGTTTTTAGATTTACGGCAGCTCCTGGAAGCTGAGGCTCTATGAAAGACCAGATTTTGGAGGGCAGGTGGTGGACTGCTCTGACGATGTGGCCTCGGCGTACGATACCTACAAGATGCGCGAGGCCAACTCCTGTGTGGTGACAGACGGCGCCTGGGTGCTGTACGACCTCCCCGACTACAGGGGGCATCAGTACCTCCTGGAGAGGGGGGAATACCGGCAGCACATCGACTGGGGGGCATCGTCTCCTGGTGTCGGCTCCTTCCGCAGGATCACAGAGTTTTAAGTGATGGAAGCTTCTTCTAAATGCCTGCACAAGCAATAAAATTAAGGCAAAGCCTGACTTGTGTCTTCATTAGAGTTTATTAGAGTTCTGGTCATCATTTGCATGAAAGTCATAAATGTACCCGGCGTTTAAGGATATAGTTCAAAAATGTTCACAAGGACTTTGGGTCAAAGTCTGCTGTCCCAGTTACATTTATCCCAAAACCAGTTCTGATGTTGGGATGATTGATTGATTGTTTAGGTTGTCATCCATTTTCTACAAACCAATGCACTGCTTATTTCAATCAAACTTGATAGTATTCATTTTGGAGCAGCACTTTTTTTGACTTTACCCTCTATGTCCATGGCGATGATAAACTGATGCATCAGCATCTTCCAGATGTAACAATCCTAGAGTCCTGGGATTTTTCACTCTGCTCCTCCAGACTAGCAGCAGCAGAAATGAGCAAAAACATGGTGGAACTGCTCAACTCATCATATGAACTCCTGACATCGATTGCAGAGACAGAGGTCCAACGTCAAGAATTAAATTGCCAAGTAAAATTTCTTTTATGTTTTGTGTGATATATGTAGCATTTTTATTAAATTAAAGATAACATAGTTACTTGATTGTGCTATGAAATGGCCGAAGTCACATGCATGTGCAGTATGTAGGGGATTTATCTAAAGGTTCAAGGTGAGGAAATAAAATATGGCTGACGTGAAGTCAGGACAACCCTAAACATACAGCCAGACCTGGATCCGATTTGGGAATGATTGGAAAGTCTTCACTTCACTAGCAAGAACTACTTTCTTATCAGTTCAATAAAACTTTAGACATATTTTCTGTTTCCAAGTCAACAGTCAGACACGTTGAATGGAAAAGGTTTATGAAATAGATGGTGCAGTCCAGGATCTGCGCAGCCTCTGGTGCCTTCCGACCTTCCTGCTGGGTCACTGACTCAGCTCTAGGCGCTTCACTGCGACCCAAATGTCCTGCAGTGCCCTTGTTTTTGTCAGCACTCTCTGCTGCATCCAGCAGCTTTCAGTTGCTTTGTTCAGGGAAACAGGAGTCACTGCTTCAGAACAATGTGATCTGCCTGGATCAATTTTTGAATCGCTGATTGAAAAATCCACTTTGCACAAAGCAAACCATGTGCTTGGCTTTATTGTTCTTGCTCTGTATAAAGAGCACACCTGAGGTGGCAGGTGTAATATTTTATTCAGCCCACCTCACTTACTGGTATTAACTATGGAAAAGGTAATGTGATCGTTTAATATATACCCATGTTAGAGTCACCGACTTAACCTGGTGTTTGTGTTTCAGATTGTCTTTTACGAGGATCGAAACTTTCAGGGTCGATATCATGAAAGCAGCAACGACTTCAGTGACCTGCACACGTACGTCAGCCGCTGCAACTCCATCAAAGTCCTGGGTGGGTTCTGGGTGGTCTACGAGAAACCGAACTACATGGGCCACCAGTACGTGCTGAGTCCAGGAGAGTATCCAGACTACCAGTACTGGCTGGGGATCAATGATGCAGTCAGGTCTTGCCGTGTCGTTAGACATGTGAGTGGTTTTTCTACCACAAACACAAATGAACCACTTCTTCAGCATTTTTTCAGAGTCGATTGTCTTTCTTGACCCTGCCAAGGTGGGGAATACATGGTGGATGAAGATTTGGGAGAAGCCAAACTTTGAGGGCGAGTCTGTGGAGCTTTCAGACAACATGCCCACCTTCCATGAGCGCTGGCAGAGCCGAGATGTCCAGTCCTGCAAAGTGTTTGAGGGGGCCTGGGTCTTCTACGAACACCCCAACTACAGGGGGCGCCAGTACCTGCTGGAGAAGGGCGAGTACAGGCGGTACTCGGAGTGGGGAGGCAGGCAGCCCAGTGTGGGCTCAGTGCGCCGGGTGAAGAACTAAGCTCTGAACTGGTCTGTATGCATCTGGGGAATAAAACCAGGATGAAAATGTGACGTTTTTTGTTATCAGTCGTTTCAAACTGTTGTAGTTTATGACATATATGAGCCAAAAAGAATGAAATACATTTATAAACTTCTAGTTTAGTGAAAAAGCTAGTTATATATTATCCATCTATCTCTCTATATATGTGCATATATATATTTTAATATATGTATAGTATTAGTTTAATTCTAAATCTATAAAATACTTAGTTAAAATAAAAATTTAATTAGTTGATAATTTAGTATTTAAATTATTTAATTAAAGTAGTCAAAATTAATGTCAAGTAACATTTTATGTGTCTGAGGAATTAATTCAGTATTGCATTGTGTCACAAAACAAACACCAATTCTTTCACTGTTTTCAATGTATCAAGTAGAATAGAACAGAAATATTCTTTATTGTCCCACAGTCTAAATCTGGTGATGCTCCTATTTTACCACTGGAGGGCGACATTATACTCCAGCTTGAAATCTGTTCTAAGAGCAAAGTTCATTCAGAGGCAGAATCTTAATGAACACATTTTGTGCAGTGGTCACAGAAACACACATGTAAATGAAGGTGAAAGGTCAAATCTGAGGGGTTTGTGTGCACTGCAGCAGATATGAGTAAGTTTAGATGTGCATATATTTTGGAACAGGAAGGAAAGAGAGAAACAGATTCAAATAAACTGAACATCCATATGCAGAAATGAGTTTTAACGATGGAGATGCTTAAATATAGAGATTAAACGTTTTTATCCACCAACCTTTTTTATTTCATGAGTTTCATTATGCCCATTTCTCAATTGATTACACCATTTTTTCTTTGATGTAATCATGGTGAGCTTTGTCCATAGGGAGGTAGCTTATCTGATGCACAGCGGTTCACTAGGGTCACTGATATTTAGTTTCCACTATCTAGAAGACACTACCTATGTCAATGGGGAATCGCTCAAATCAATATCGTTGCCTTTTTTTCCCTTTTCTTAAAAGGAAACAAAAACAAGTAAAGACTTTGACGTCCAACAATAAGGAGAACAGGTCATGCTTACATCACAATCTGCAGATATGCTTGATAATTAGCTGAGACAACAGTTGAATTTCCTGTGACAGGATATGTTGTTTTATATCATGCTTGTTGATCTGCCAGAACGGAAGAATGAAACAGGCCCATGTGGCGCTGTGCACAGGAATCAACGTGTGGCGGCCGAGTCAACAGGAGACGTTGCAAATCAGTAACTGAGCTGCTGAGCTCAGCTGCTGGTCGAACTGGGACTTTTATCACACGCAGATCCATTTTTGCCATCTCCCGACGCTGACTGGGCGTTTTTTTTTCTTCTTTCTTTCTTTTTTTGAGAGGAGTACAAACAATCAGCAGCTCTTCAGAGAAAAAACGAGGGAAAAAGTCCACTCAGGACATCAGACAGGAATCACACACTAAGATTCAGTCTATTGGGAGGCCTCGAATAAAATAAAATTACAGAGAGGCTAAAAGTAAGAAAATTTTGTTCGCCCTTGGCTGCAACCAGCAAAAGCCGCCAAAGGAACATTAGATTCTGCTGCATCATAGCTGCAGCTGACCTTTAATCTTCTTATGTGCATATCTGGATTAACGTCCCCCCTAACTACAGCGGGTTTGTTCTCTCTATTGTGCAGAGCCATCAGTCATGGTGAGAGGGGAGAGATTTTTTCCCAAATAATCACGTGAAGCCTTGACTGATTTTGCTGTAGCTTATGGAAATGAACCGGAAACAGATCAAAGCAAAACCAAAGGGTGAGAAATTCTGCTTCTCAGGTGGCATAAAAACCCTTCTGCAATACAGGAATACACATTATAAAATGTTAACCTATGGATTATTACCCCGAGTTGCTTCTTTATATGAATTACGTGGAACAACCTGTAAAAATCTGGAATTTGCACAACTTTTTAAAAACCTAAATACTGCTTTTTTCCCCTCGTTAGGTGAACAGTGGTAAGCTAAAGCAGTATGTGTTCAGACAGCCAGAGGAAAATCATGCAAGTATTTACATGACCGCACCATCCATACACTTGAAGCAGTAGTTGGAAACAGAATCATGTACAAGGTAAAGCCCCTTGCAGCTCAAATGCAACTTGGGTAAAAACTAGCTCACCACCACAGTGTTTACAAATGTGATGCCACAGTATTTGTGTTTTCTTGTGATGTCATCGGCTTGGATACACACAAAGCAGAACGAGGAGTTATTTTCATTTTTGCACATTAAAAAAAAGTATTTTGTGAAACCCTGATAGGGAAATCTTCTTGTTTAAATGTATAAAATTATAACTTGAGTTGTACTAAATTACAGTGTTGTGTTGTTCCATTGTTTTATATGAAAATACATATTCGGTCGAAAGATGTTCATTTACTTTCATTTAATTTCTATTATTCAAATTGGTGGGTCTGGCCCTTTAAGAACGCTGTGAATTCATGAATGAAACGCAGTCATTCATAAAAAAAAAAAGAAACAAAAAAAAAAAAGAAACCAGAACGGACGGACGTCAGAGCTCTCTTGAAAGTGATTGGCTCAGATTTCGATTGACTCGCTCTTCAGCCAATGGGAGGGCTGCACTCTGCTTGGCTTATCTGAGAGCTCTTCATTGAGAAAAATCCACAGCCAAGCGTTTATTCGTGGAGCTGCAGGCGATGTAGGGGCGAAAAAAAAACAAAAAAAAAAAAAAAACTGCGCCCTTATTATTTTTAAATTACTCTTCCAACAATAACTTCACTACCCAGGTATGTCTTGCATTATTATGTTGGTGTGTGTCTTAAAGTCGGTGCTTGTTTTTGTCCGCCTATCCGGCCGAACCGCAGCGTTCGCGGTTTGTTGCTGGCCGTGAAGGGAGCAGACTCTGGTTAAAGAGGCGAACGCCATTTTCTAGCAATCAAAGCCAACATGCGTCCATTTCCGCGCATCTGTCGGCTCCGATAAACACCATATGCATTGACTGTTCTCCTGTATTATTATTATTATTCGTTTTGTTAGCTTTGTGAATATTTTTTCCGTTCTCTCTGGTAAATTTCTCAATGGTGAGCCGCTCCCCCTCCTCCTCCTCCCCCTCCTCCTCCTCCTCCTCATGCTGAGGATCAAGTTTCACTTCATTGAGAAAAACAAGGAGGTCCCACAGCGGTCAGCGCCAGACTCCATTCACAATTTGTCCAATTTTACGTTCGGCTCTCTCGCTTAGTACATTTTCTTGTAGCTCTGTCGCAAAACTTCCATACAAAACGTTTACGTAGCTTTAAAACAAGTTGTCAATCACAGCTCGTCTATTTCCCTTGAAACTTTTATTTTTGGGATTTTAGGCGATAAAACGAGCCGACCGTGAGGTTAAACTGGGATTAACTCATCATCTTGAGAAATTAATTTATCGGGAAATGAACTCCTTATCTCGAACAAACCATGGGGGGAAAGCAAAATGTGGGAAACATCCACTCACGGCTTCCTAGGCCTTACATTTTGAAGTGGAAGGGAAGGATAAATAAGAGCCAATCTGAAAAGTGTGGCGTGCTCTTGTTCTCCCCTCAGAAGTCATCTTTGTCAGTGAACATGTGTTTGTGATCTGTTCTGTTTATCGGTGAGAAACTGTACCACGAAGGACAATATTCACGTGTTCAAATGTCCTAGTCAAAGTCTACACCTAAGTGCTTTCCTAAAGGGAAGGGAAAACGCCTCATGCGCTGTCTGGATATAAATATTTTTGCTTTCCCCTTTGTGAACAAAAACCCAAAAGACATCATGTTTTCTTGCTCTCTCTCTCGTGCTCATAACTCATGATGTCACAGAGCTTTTGTTTGCAATGAGGCGACGAGAGCCAAAGCTAAGCCCTGCTGTCTGGTCGCAGAGGTCAGAACAACATAAACCAATTGAGTCACTTTAAGGGGATGATTGTTGTATGAATGGAGGGTTAAATCAGGCGGAAAGGGCCGCAGATCTGATGCAGTTAAGTGTTTACCTAACGGCTCCCACTTGTCCTGCCCTCCAGGGTGAACTGCGCTGCAACATGGACGGCTTTTACGATCAGCAGGTTCCTTTTATGGCGCCTGAGAGTGTGAGTCTTTAACCTGCCGATTTCACGTTTATTTATTGGCTTGTGCATTGCAGCCTGATTTGTTTTTACTGCTGCCGGTTGCAGAAGTGCCACACAGAGGAGGAGAGGGGACTTGGCGACAGACGGAGGAGGTTCTTAGACACGGAGCTGGCTCAGGACACAGAAGGTACATCAGCTGGGTTCACTCTGTCTGGCGTTTCCAAAACGCAGCAGTTCACCTGTAAATTTACTCAGTGCTTGTCTTTCAGAGCTTTTTCAGGATCTGATCCAGCTCCAGGAAATATGGATTGCAGAAGGTAAAAAAACAAAGTGGGGGGGGGACAAAAACATTTATTTAAAAATAGCAGCTGCAAAATCTACCTGCTATTAATAAGACCAAACACGCTGCGTGTATTGATTATTTTTGGCTCGACGTTTAGCAAGTCCTTAATCATCCTGTCTTCTGCCGACTGACAGCTCAGGTTCCTGATGACGAGCAGTTTGTCCCAGATTTCCAGTCCAATAACTGTGAGTAACTGCTTCTCCTCTCGTATTTATAGATGTCACCCACTGTTACACAAGAAGCATTCCATAAAAGTGACAGTGATTTATTATGCAAACATTTATTTTGGTTGAGAACCCTGCATACGAATCATATTTGCTCACGTAACAGAGCTAGATTTTTGTTTACAAACTACAAAAGCCAAATGATGGAGCCATTTTGTCCCCTGCATGGCGGCGGCTGTGTATTTAATCCTATTCTGTTGGTGCAAATTGCAAATGAAGACGTGTGAAGGGCTGAAAATAGTCTGAGCAAACAGTCCTGCCCACTCACTCGAGGAAAATAAACTGCTTTCCAGATAATGAGTTTGTTTTATTTATTTTTACCCTGGGTCTTGGACTACCAGTAGTGCGGAGGAGAAAATTATGTTGTGCCACAGCAGAAAATTATGTTGTGCCACAGCAGCCACAATGTAATAAATAAACCATTAAATCAATATTAGACATGCAAGTCCTTAAATGTTATTGCTGCTTTGTTCACTTTTACTTGTACACAGTATTTAAAGGTTTTGTTCTGCAGGAAACCATGAGAAAACGTCAAATGTCACACATAATTAGCTTAAATTACGATTTGCTCTTTGAAAACTGAACACTCCCTATTTCCGTTCGTATGTTGTTGGTTCCTTTTTAGGTCAAGTGAAATATAAACTAAAACAGATTCAAACCACGAACCACTACATTTAATTACAGTTGAAGATTTGATCGTGTACAAAGACTTCTGCTGCCTCTTATTCTTCAAACGTTTCTTATGCTATGACTGTTGTTATACAGATATTTAATGTAAATCTTCTGGGATTCAATAATAATAAAAAAATAATTGTAGAATCTGAAATTGGATTATAGAAAATAACAAAGTAAATTGTGTCCCTTAAATTATTTGGTATTTCACTGTATTTCACATTGCCTTTCCACACATCTCGTTACTTTTGTATTGATTTGGCTGAATTTTGGCACTTTTACTTCCCCATACTTTGACAATGAATTGCAGCAATTTTAGCGCTCCATACTTTTTCATAGAACTCCATATTAATCATTTAAATTTTTCCTCTTTTAGAGCTGCATATTCCTGATGAAACTCTCGCTTGTGGACCTCCATATGTTCATCAAATTTTGGCACATCTTGCCTTCTATATGTTTGATCCTTTTGTGAGATAAGACGAATAGAAACTGATCCAGGAAGGTTGCACTAGTTTACAAATAGCTAAAGGTCTAAAAAAAACATAAAGGTTTTTTTTTAAGAGTGTGACGGGGTTCTTTTATGACTTGGGCCACCACAAAAAAATGACGGGCCAAGGCCAGGGATTACTTTAGTGAGATTTATTTTTTTATCAGTGCAGTGAATCAACAGTGGCAAATGCATAATATTTACAAAAATGTCCAAGATGAGTTAAAAATCAACACAGCACAGCAGTACCTTCAAGTCGCAGCTCATCACCTCCAATGTGACACTTCTCACGCCTAGGTGCAGACTGCCCAGAGGAAGTCCCATCAAACAAAACAAAACTAAACAAAACAAAAACTAAACAATTATTTCTAACTCAAATCCTTGAAATAACAATAAGAAACAATAAGGAAGAAAAAATAAATAAATTTATAATCAAAATACACCCAAACAAAAGAACAAAAACAACCAGCACATTGTGATGACTACACATCACATAATTGGCTCCCGGTGCGCTCCAAGCTGGAAACAACTTCCCCCAAAGAAAACCGGAAAAACATGTACCTGAAAATAACCGATTAGAATGAACGTCAAACGAAAACACCGCGTGTGCACCCACGATGAATCGCCTCAATCCAAACTAAAAGGAAAACAAACAGGTAAGTTTATAATTGTGCATGTTTGCTAACAGGGACTCTCCGATCGTGACGGCTCCTCCGTCACAAGAGATTTATAGAAAAATATTATGATTTTAATCACACTAAAAGAAACTGTTACTGAACTATAGAGCTCCTTCAGTGACAGATTGTTGCATCCTGTGTGCACAAACAACCATTATCAGAGGTCCTTCCTCCGAGCAGCTGTTGGCCTTGAAAGCTATCACTGCTCCTAACACATTCAATATTCCATTGAGCTATAGATGAACCCAGTCGACCTTCCCGAATCCGTTTTCCGATATCGAATCACCGCACACTGCTGTGTTTACAAGCAAAGATTGCGCCACATTTCCCAGAGACGCAAAATGTGTTGGAGTTTTCCCAAATCAATGCTAGCAGTCACAAGAACAGGAAATGAGGGGGTTATAATATGACATCTGGGTGAATTTGTATTATATCGTGAGTTAAAATTGGTACCTTCGGTGCCGCTCCCACACACGTAATGCGTGTATTTATTGCTGCTTTAATGACGGCTCCCGTGATGGAACAACTCCAGGGTGAGGCCATAAAGCCGCCTGCGAGCGCGTCGCATATGGAAATGTTTGTGGCCTGTTGGCGTCACGGCAACATGCTGATGGCAATCTGACGGCTCTTTCCAGGAAAGTTGAGCTCGGATAGAAAAACACGCAGAGGAGAAAAAGGGAGCGAGATAAAGAGGCTCTGCTGACTCTGAGCAAATACCTCAGAAATCAGAGAAACTGTGAGGGATGGAAAATCTTATCCTTGGATGTTTGTTGTTGTGGGAGCATAAAAGTTCAAATATACTGAAAGTTTTTTTTTTTTTGTCATGTCTGCTTGTAGTGATGCTTCATGGACCGCCTGTCAGTAAAGTGAAGCGGGAGCCCAGTCCGTCCAAAGACCTGTCTCCCTGTGGGACTCCCCAGACTGACATGTGCCTTTACAGTTACAGGTACCAGATAAATGTTTTAAACTGGATTCCTTTGTTCACTTTTACACATTTTAATGTTTTCTTACTACCATATGTGTCACATGGTGAAGAGATTCTGGGAAATAACTATGGAACCAACCTCCAACTTATTTATATATAGCAAAATAAAAAAAAGGCATGAGGATTGTAAATATTATTGTTATTATTTGTGTGTTTTAGATTGATTGATTGAATAAATTACACTATTTATGTTATTGTCTCCCTCAGTGCCTGTGAAAACAAACCAGGTCCAGCCAATGCACCTGCCACACAGTGCAGCTCCATCCACCCTGCGAGACCTCCACCCTTGCGGAGGCAGCTGCAGCCTTCCCCGCCTCAGATGAGCAGCCGAGCTCCACCTTCCAACCCCTTCCACCACCAAAACCTCCCACAGGCCAACCAAAACCAGCAGTTCGCGCTGCCGCGTACCCCCGTCGGCTGCTCGCCGCCGGCGGCTTTCAGCACAGAGCAAAGGTGAGCTCTGGTTTTCACCTTGCTGTTTGCTTTTGCTTTGCATGCATTTCCACAGACGACTCAAAACCTTCCTCTGGTCCTCCCAGGTTCCACCGGCAGCTGTCTGATCCCTGCCTGCCCTTCCTGCCTCCAGAGAAAACCCAGAACCCGCTGTTCCACCCCTCCAGTTGCGACGGCCGGCCTCTGTACCAGCGCCACCTGTCGGAACCCGTCGTCCCCCTCCCACCCCGCGGTTTCAAGCAGGAGCTGGTGGACCCACGCTACCCTGACCCGGGGCCGGCCGGTCCAGGTCTGGCCCCGCCCCAAGCCAACTTCAACCACGTCAAAATAAAGCAAGAGCCAAGAGACTTCAGCTTTGAACATGGTATGTTTTTTCTGTAATATTAATCATAACTTTTGGGGCTAAATAATTTGTGCCAGAAGCTTCATTGGATCTCTCACCCGTCTCTTCCTCAGAGGTTCAAACCTGCCAGTCGACATTTGGAAAATCTCCAGTTCTATTTCAGAAAAACAATGCTGGTGAGTTCTAGTTAATGGTTTGCTGTTCTCTGCCTTATGGGAGTCCAAACTGCCACAATTTAATAAGTAAACAGAGAATCAAAAAGTTTCCTAATGCAGGATAGATGAAGGAATGAATCCAGATTTCAACCGATAACTTGAATAATTCTGTATTGGTAATTATTTTAGAGCTTCTTAATTGGACAGTGTCACTTTTTGGGATGTAATGTCACAGTGGACTGTGAAATTTGTAGCTAAATTAAACTGTAAAATAATTATGAATTAATAAAGTTAAGTTTTGTTGATTTACCTTCATATTAAATGTTTTCTTCTTTTCTATTTACTTCCCTTTTGACCATTTATATTATATATATATATAATATCATGACATACAAAGATCATTAGATGTGTAACTCTAACTGAATTTTTGTATTTATTTTTCATTTCCCCGCAGGATTTGGTCCTGACAGGGAGCCTCTTCGGTACTTTGATGACACCTGTGTTGTACCAGAGAGATTGGAAGGTAGGTTCCTCTTTTTCTTGTTTTTTTATTTCACTTTCAGTCGTTAGAAATGAGCAGAACCTGATTGTTTTGGTGGCCGAGGCGAGACGCGTGAACTCTGCGCTTGTCTCTCGAAACCAGGCAAAGTGAAGCAGGAAGGTTTGCCGTACCAGCGCCGCGGCTCCCTGCAGCTCTGGCAGTTCCTGCTCACGCTGCTGGACAACCCGGCGAACAGACACCTGATCGTCTGGACGGGACGCAACATGGAGTTCAAACTGATCGATCCAGAAGAGGTGGCGCTTTCAGGCTTATGACTATCAGCGGTAAACCATTTGTAAGGATAATTCTTTGATTTGAATCATTTTTTTCCAGGTGGCTCGCCTTTGGGGCATCCAGAAAAATCGACCAGCCATGAATTACGACAAGCTGAGCCGCTCGCTGCGGTACTACTACGAAAAAGGCATTATGCAGAAGGTAAAGGCGAGTCATCGTTCTCATCGACACAGTTTCACACGATTCTCTTTTCTTTAAAGATTTTTTTTTTTATATTTTCATTTCCTCCCACAGGTTGCCGGGGAAAGGTACGTCTACAAATTTGTGTGCAACCCCGACGCGTTGTTCTCCATGGCATTCCCAGAAAACCACAGGCCGAGTTTGAAAGCAGACCTGGACGCCATCTTGCCTCCCAGCGAGGAGGACGGCTTCCCCCTGCCCAGCTACGAGGAGGACGGTCCGTACCTGATGGACGGAGGGGAGCAGTGTGTCCAGGGACTGGCTTTCCCCGACAGCTACCCGTACTAGCAGCTGGAAGGGAAAAAAACCACAATATTACTGTATTTTACAAAACGAGGCGAAACCTAAAATTACTGAGCAACATTTCAGATACGAATATTTCCTTTGTTTTCTTGACAAGAAGTTTTTTGGGTTTTTTTTTTTTTAATTTCAATGCAACCGGAAAAGCTGGAAATCTGAGTCGCTGAGACTGTTAAACCTGCTTCTTCAACGAAGAAAACAAACTTCAGTTTTCATCCAGATGCTTGTGTTGTTGGGCATTTCAAGGATAATCGTTGCGTTTTTAGAGGAAAGGTCGGTCGTTTTTAATTGGGACACGTTGTGAGAACAGCAAGAAACCTTAACATTGAAGCCTAGAAGATGTCCTAACGTTTAATTTTATATAAAATAATTGCGAGTTTTGCCCCATAAACAAATATCCAGTGGCGGTTCTTGATTACTCAGTGGGCCAGCATGCATGCATTCATTTATTCATCGTTTTTGTTGGTTCTCAAATAGAATATTACTTGACTTTCAGAAATTATTTTAAATAATGTTATCAGTATTTAACTTTTCATTTAAACTTTGTATATACTGCGATTTTTATGCTTGTCTCAATCTCAAACATCAACAGTTTTGTTTCTTTTAATCTGTCACAGCACTAAATTGGTGGACAGTGGACTTAATTGCATTTTTGTTGTTGTTGCCTCCCCCTAATAGATGACACCCTGGATGGTAAGCCACATTTTTCATATGAAAAAGCGCCACTGCGGTCAGATTTTGGAGAGTTTCTCTTGATCACATGATTCAAGCTGTAACTCTACGGCTAATGTCTGTAGCATTTTTCTTCTAAAGAGGCATCTGCACTTAAGCACAGATATGCAGTGTTTTTGTCCCTCGCAAACCTCGTCATCAACTTTTTCTTAGTGTTTCAGTTGCAGCTTTTCCATTTCTTGTTGGTTTCTTTGTCGATGGTGGTAATTTTGTAGCATGGCCATCGCTTCTGTTCTCGAATTTGTAAACTCTGGGACCTGTTTGGCAGCCAAAAACAGAAACCTTTAAGCCATGGCATTCCTTTTTTGATAATTTAATAAGCATATTATCCAGACTGCTTGAAAGGGACGCTCTTGTATTTCCTGGACCGTATAATCCTGAATCATCTATGTTGAAAATGTCTTTTTGTGTACATTTTTTTTCCCCTTGGGTTTTAAAGCTAATATTTTTAGCGGTATACGGACTTGTATGTATTTCCTATAACAGTTTATGATGAAAGTATCGCTTGTATTTTTTTGGATTCTGTACGACTGCCACTCTTACGCTTATGAAAGGCATGTTTTTTTCGAAACGCCTCACCACTTAATGTACCGAGATAGTTTTCTGCATTTTTGTATAATTTGTTTGCTTCAGTGTGTAGAAAAAAGAAAAGTGTATAATTATATATGGATATATTTTTGCAAAAGGCTGTATTTGCTTGCAAATATGTTGCATCAGCTCTCTGAGGAGGAAGAACTCTCTGAATCCTGCAGGCAGAAGATGTTCCTCATATATTTTACTATAGATCCTGACGCTGGTGTGACTTTTACCCTCAGATACTGTATTTGTGCCTTCTGTTTATCTTTACTGATAAAATAAACTATTTTACTCTTTTATTTTTTGCCTCAGTGTAGATCACAAAAACAAAACATTACGCAAGAACCACTGAGGAGGAAGTTCTTGCAATTCATTCTCCGGACATCCTCCAGGGGGCGCAGCTGCTGGGTCAGAGGCTGCAAAGATCAACAAAGCGTATAATTCAGCAGTTAATTCAACTTGCTCAAATTTCAAGCTTCTAGTTAAGCTAATTTATATCATTAACTAGGATGCAACAACTGGATGTAAAAGCAGTAACGGCCTTTGTCCACGAGAGGGCACCAAGCCCATTTTAACGTTAAAAAGGCTGTTTATCCAGAAACATTCCTCTTCAGTGTTATTATTATTATTATGTAGACACAAACATTATGTACTTTTAATCGCTAGGAATCAAGATTAGGGTTTATTTGGTCTGAACAGAAACATTCTGTTAATACAAAGATATGTGAGACACTTTTATTAAGCTTTGAGTCAAATAAAAATCGTTAAACCGGTAATTAAAGGAAATAGTTGTAATTTATAATAACGCTGCGAGATGTGCTTGTATGTTATCATTTTCCAAACCTGTTTCCGGTCATTTATTTTGAAGGAACTCGCAGGAAAGAAGCGTATTTATCATACATTCCAGCTTTATTAATTTAATTAACTGTAATTACCACTTGCAGCCACCAGAGGGCATAAACCCGCCGTTCAAAATGCTGCTGTCGCCATTGACAGGCTGTTGAACAGTTTTATGTCCTTCATCTTACAAATAGGAGTTTGTTCATTAAAGAATCGTCTAATCCTGAAATTTTAGAGTGTAATTGCGTGCTGCTACCACTGGATGGCAGTAGATGGAGAAAGCTCAGGGGCAAACGACATTTAAAATAAAAATATGGGTTTATTATAGAAATAATATAGAAATATAACATTTCAAGAATATGTTTTAATTAATTATACTATAGTTTTTTGTTAGATTCTTTTCCAAGCTTCTAGTTAAGCTAATTTATATCATTAACTATTAAAGGATGCAACAACTGGATGTGAAAGCAATAACGGCCTTTGTCCACTAACGCCCATTTTAACGTTAAACAGGCTGTTTATACAGAAACATCCCTCTTCTGTGTTATTATTATTATTATTATTATTATTATTATTATTATTATTAGTAGTAGTAGTAGTAGTAGTAGTAGTATTAGTATTAGTATTATTATATAGACGGAGACATTATCTACTTTTATGTGTTATAAGAAACATTCTGTTAATACAAAGATATGTGAGGCACTTTTATTAAGCTTTGTGTCAAAAGAAACAAGTTAAACCGGTATTCAGACAGTAATTAAAGGAAATAGTTGCACTTAATTTATAATAACGATGCGAGATGTGCTCTTATGTTATCATTTTCCAAACCTGTTTCCGGTCATTTATTTTGAAGGAACTCGAAGGAAAAAAGCTTATTTATCATTCTTTCCAGCTTTATTAATTTAATTAACTGTAATTACCACTTGCAGCCACCAGAGGGCATAAAATGCTGTTGTCGCCATAGACAGGCTGTAGCGGAGTAGTTGCTTCGTTTCCAGCGATTTAAATGGGTCCCCGTTAGATGAATTAACGCAGATATTTGTATTGGGCTCATTTCAATGTTTTCTTTGTGCCTGTGACTTAGAAGCATCTCATCAAGAGCTGAAGACAACATCGTGGAGTCTCAGAACAAAGTTAATTTATATCATTAACAATTAAAGGATGCAACAACTGGATGTGAAAGCAGTAATGGCCTTTGTCCACTAGAGGGCACCAAGCAACCACACAAACGCCCATTTTAACGTTAAACAGGCTTTTTATCCAGAAACATCCCTCTTCTGTGATATTATTATTATTATTATTATTATTATTATTATTATTATTATTATTATTATTATTATTATTATTATTATTATTTACTTTAATTTGTTATAAGAATCATTCTGTTAATACAAAGATATGTGAGGCACTTTTATTAAGCTTTGAGTCAAAAGAAACAAGTTAAATCGGTATTCAGACAGTAATTAAAGGAAATAGTTGCACTTAATTTATAATAACGCTGCGAGATGTGCTTGTATGTTATCATTTTCCAAACCTGTTTCCGGGCGTTTTTTTTGAAGGAACTCGCAGGAAAAAAGCTTATTTATCATTCTTTCCAGCTTTATTAATTTAAATTAACTGTAATTACCACTTGTAGCCACCAGAGGGCATAAAATGCTATTGTCGCCATAGACAGGCTGTAGCGGAGTAGTTGCTTCGTTTCCAGCGATTTAAATGGGTCCCCGTTAGATGAATTACCGCAAATAGTTGTATTGGGCTCATTTCAATGTTTTCTTTGTGTGTGTGCATGCTCTGCAGTTCGGACAGAGTTCTGCGATAGCCGGGAGTCAGTCAACGCTTTATTCCGCGCTAACCTTCAGGAAAAGGTCTTGCATTATTTAACATTGTGAAACAAATTTAACACCGAAGCAAAACTTTGATTCGCCAACAAAAACTTAGAAGCACAATCAAAACTTTGAGAAGCGCAAATAAAAGTTAACATTTTGCAAAAAACTCTTTTACATCATGAGACAAAATTAGTGATTTTAATTAAAAATATATATATATGTAGTTTTTTAAACACACATGATTTTTGCTAAAAAAAAATCCTTACAGTTCCAAAATTTTTGATCACAATTTTATTAATTGTTTTAATTGACATTAGTTTTTTTTTAAATTATTGAATAATTGTGAAACAAATTCAACTCCATAGTTTCTGCTTACCACACCTCCCCTCTGCTGCCACCTAGTGGACATAAGCTTCTTACACGTCTACGTCAGTGACGTAATGGCCAAAACCCCGAAACGCCGGAAGTGAAGCTCTTTTAAAGTTTTAAAAGCAAAGTTAATATTTTATACAATATAAATTAACATTCAGGGCGAAGACCAAAGATTACTTCTGAGCATTTTATGTTGAAAAAAAAAAATAACAAAAAATATGACAGGACAAAATAATAATAATAATAACACGTGACCTGTGTCAAAGTTCACTCATTTAATCGTCGCGCGGCGCTTCTTTCTCACACAGCTAACAGGTAAAGTTCATGATTTTTTATTTATTTATTTTTGGTAGTTAGGTTTTTTCTACAAACGGAACAAAAAATAAAATAGATAAAATAAAATTAAAATGTGTGAAGTGATAAATACAAAGTTCCACATCTGCCGGCTAGCTAGCTAGCTTGCTAGGCTGCTTCCTCTGGACGACAGTGGACGCTTTGTTTATCATCACTGCTGCTGTTTGTTCTCAACCAACTCTGCTGTTTATTTGCCCCTTTGGGAAACATTTCCAGGTAATTGTGGTGACTATTTTACAACAACTCAACGCCCTGTTTTTGGAGGCATTTCCGATTCCTCCGTGAACTAAAACGTTTTTTCCGGGTTGACAGTTTTCAAGAAAACACGGAAGACTGACGTCCCACAGCAAGCAGAGATCTCGGTGACGGTGGTCTTTGGACAACAGGACAGCACTGGTGAGTTCTTAAGTGTTTTTAATTTAAAAGATGTGGTGTTTATGTTAGTTATGTGCATTTTCACTCAGCAGTTTTTGAGGTTTCAAGCGATAACCTTGTGGTGCGTTAAAGGACACCTCGTACATTATAGCTTTTTAAATAATTTTTGCTTAAATTATTTAATCCACCACACTTCTTAACTAACATGGTTAATAATGTTTACAATTACTTCTACATTGGTTAGTGTTTAAAATAACCTGGAAAATATCAACTCAAGTAATGAAGAAATGGTCTTTTAGATATGACCACTTGGGGGCGCTCACAGAGCATTGAAAACTGTTCAGGTAACTGAGCAAGGAAATGTTATTAACTGAGCAAGGAAATGTTATTAATGATGATGAAAACTGAATTCCACAACCTTTCAGATTAAGATTCATGTGACATGTTAATTTATATGTGAATATAGAAAACACCATAACAGCTCAATGACTGGCGTTTCCTGCATGCATTGTCTTTTACACGTTCCATCTTTGCATATATTTCACACAGGAAGATAATTGGTGGTGCGCCATCTGCTACTACACTTCCTCTGTAAACCTGTTCAGTTTAACTGACATTTACAAATACGACAAAAGTTGAAACATTTGTATAAAAAAACAAATTACAATCTCATATATTTGAGATTGGAGTTGTCTTAAGGTAGTAGAACTGTTAGCGCTAGCTTCAGCATCCAGCTAATCTGAATTTATAGATTTGTTGCAGAGAGAGTTTTTGACTCCAGATAAGACATTAACTGCTTCTAATTATTTTAACTTTATATCTTTTTAATTTTCCCTTTAATAACTTGATCATGTTAGCCTATATTCTGTGCTGCTGCTTTTCAAACTCAGATCCAGTAAATGCAGAAAGATGAGGAGTATGTCCTCATCTTCCTGCTGCTTAGCAATGGGTGAAAATAGGGTTTAAAAACTATTTCTTGAGCTTTACTCTTTCATTACTGAAGCATGTTGTCATTGGTCCTCTTGGGCTCATTAATTTCAATGAATGTTGAACTGGAATAGATGAATTTTTGGACTCAAATATTCTTTGCAGGTGCATGCTTGACATCTGTAATATGTGCACAAAAATGCCATATTCTGCATCAAACGATACCCAGACTAGTACATTTCTTCAACCAGCTGCATGCGGACATTTGTCAGCAGAAACAAAGACAAAGTAAAAAGTACAAAAGCTCAAATAAAATCTAAAGAATGTGCAATTAATCTGATTCATATTTTAATTTAAACGTACTTTGTACATATATGTTAAAATTATTTTTGGCACATTCTGCTTTGCAGAATGTTGTTCAAGTGCAATAAATCCAAACTCAAGTAATCATGTTAAATAATCATAATTTTTGTTTTCTTTTTTTCATAATCGGGCAGTTCTACCACATCCATATTGCATGCAACACCAGACTACAGCCAACTGTGGTTTAGTTTGGACAACCTTCTGAGCTGTGTAGTCCAAAATCCTTGACGAAATTCATGAAG